AGCTCACAGACTTGAGACTTGACTTGGACTCTAGCTCACAGACTTGAGACTTGACTTGGACTCTAACTCACAGACTTTAAACTTGACTTGGACTCTAGCTCACAGACTTGAGACTTGACTTGGACTCTAGCTCACAGATTTGAAACTTGACTTGGACTCTAGCTCACAGACTTGAGACTTGACTTGGACTCTAGCTCACAGATTTGAAACTTGACTTGGACTCTAGCTCACATACTTGAGACTTGACTTGGACTCTAGCTCACAGATTTCAAACTTGACTTGGACTCTAACTCACAGACTTGAGACTTGACTTGGACTCTAGCTCACAGATTTGAAACTTGACTTGGATTCTAGCTCACAGACTTGAGACTTGACTTGGACTCTAACTCACAGACTTGAGACTTGACTTGGACTCTAGCTCACGGACTTGAGACTTGACATGGACTCTAACTCACAGACTTGAGACTTGACTTGGACTCTAGCTCACAGACTTGAGACTTGACTTGGACTCTAGCTCACAGACTTGAAACTTGACTTGGACTCTAGCTCACATACTTGAAACTTGACTTGGACTCTAACTCACAGACTTGAAACTTGACTTGGACTCTAGCTCACAGACTTGAAACTTGACTTGGACTCTAACTCACAGACTTGAAACTTGACTTGGACTCTAGCTCACAGACTTTAAACTTGACTTGGACTCTAGCTCACAGACTTGAGACTTGACTTGGACTCTAGTTCACAGACTTGAGACTTGACTTGGACTCTAGCTCACAGACTTGAGACTTGACTTGGACTCTAGTTCACAGACTTGAGACTTGACTTGGACTCTAGCTCACAGACTTGAGCATCTCTGGCAATTTCTTCTGGAATTGTAACATCTTTTAAAATAGAAACTTAGAAAACAACATTGTCAAACCCACAGCCAGTTGGTCTATAAGCTCACACAGCCAGCAGAGGCAAGAGACCACATGACAGCAGATTAGCTCACAAGTGTTAGTGCTATAGTTCAGCTACCCCGTGTTGGTTATGTGACCCTTGAATTGTAGGTCACAGTGGTCCCTTGATTCCTCAGGAATTAAAGAAAAATGTACAGCAATTAACTTCTGTTTCAAAGAAACTAAGAGGAAAGAGGAAATCATGTTGGCAATAATAACTTTTATTTGGATCTTATAATGTTTCTCCTTATTTAGTTTCATTCTTGAGGGTGCTATGAAGTTTTCTATTTAAGTATTTCATTTCTATTTTGTCCGGTTGACCAATGAGAGACGCTATACAACAAACATGTAATTCACACCTTAAAGTATGATCATCTGGGGCAAAATCCCCCTTTATGTGTTTGTGTTTAAATGTTGTGCTTCTGCTGTTGTGAGTTCAGCAGCAGCAGCAGCAGGAAGAGGAGGAGGAGGCTGAGTTTGACTGAAGGCAAAACATCTATCAAAGTGAAAAGGCTCCCTGTCCCTTAGTGTACAGTAGTAATCATTTTAATGGCCAGTGTGAGAGGAAATAGTAGTGAAAAAGTAGCTTTGATCTTTGTTATTGGGTTTAAGTCCTCTGCTGTCTTCAGCCACCCCTCTCTCCTTTTACCCTTCTCTCTCATTTACACTTTGAGACACACACTGTAAAGTTTACTTTTTGGTAACCCTGGAAAGAAAGGAGGGAGGAAAACAAACTCTAAAAAGTTAAAATATTCAGCCTTTGTTGGGTTTACTCGAACATTAACTTGTAGTCTATCTTGATCTTTGAAATTGGGTCACATACTGTAGAGTTGACTCCAGCTAAACTTAATACATTCATGAAATTACTGTATATTTTACAATCCTTGACTGTGAGGCCTATAAATGTTTTCTTTTACCACCTTTCTTACAGTCTTCATCAAACTTGGTGTATTACATCATTGGAGAAATAAAGTTTTCTGTATTCCAATTATTGTTCACTAAATTTATGCTGATGTGGCATTTTCTTCAACTTTTACAGTTTCTTTAAGCGTATTGTCCTCAAAGAAAAATGTTGTCTTGTAGCCAGAAGTAATGAAGACGTGAACATAAGTTAAATTGTATTATATTATAAGTACCTTTCTAATCTAAAAAAGAAAAGCAGTTTACTTGGTCACTTGTCATGGTAGCAAAAGCACAGATGTAAATTATTAACAAGAATGATGAAGCATTTAGCTGCTTCAGTTTTAGGGTCCTAGTCTTGTGTCATGTCTTACTGGGACACTTGAATTAAACATCAATGTTATTAGTAACATCTGTGCTTTTCCTGGCATGACAAGTCAAAAAGACGATGTTGATCCAGTCTTAGTTAAACTTGGTATGAAGTTTTATCAGCACTATTATGGATATAATATAATATAAATATGCAAAACATGCACTAAAACAGTCCACAGTTTGCATTAAATACAATGTACACCATGGCAAAGCAGAAAACCTGGAGTGCATCCAGCCACCATCCTCCAACTCAGTTGTCAGCGGTTGGAAGGATCGCCATCACAACCACCCCACCGATTGCTATATAAAAGACATTTTAATGGCATAAGTGGTATTCCCAAAAAGCATGGTTGTCTTTCTTCGTACAGATTAAAGAACCAGTTAAAGAGTAAAGTCTCTTAGACATTTCTGTTTAGAAAACTATCTCAGAGGACTTCTCAGCTTTCTATATAAGAGCTCTCTTGTATTATCTGTTTCAGCTTGTCTGATAAGAGCCCAAATACTTTCTTTTTTCTCACAGATCAGTGTTTTTATTCTTCCTGTCTTTTCTTTTTCGAGTGCATGATGTGGCACAGAGACATGTGTGGGACTCCAATGGTTTTCATAGTATTTTATAATGTTGCTCCTTAAGCTTGAAGTGTCTGTGAGCACATCACCACATCAGATCTCAACACGTTTAATCCTGCAGAGTCGCAGATGGATAATTTACCGGCAAGTGAAAAAGAAAATAATTGCAGCTATTCACACACACATCTCTCTGAGACACTCAAACACAGAGAGACAACTGCCACGTATTCACAGAGAGAGAGAGTGAGCAGGGGGAGTGAGAGAGGAGGGGTGAGGAAAAAAAGATGGGATGTGAGAGGAGAGGGGGGGGGGGAATAAAAGAAGGGAGACAGAAAAAGTAGACAAACTGAGGAAAAAGAAAGGTTAAAAAAGAGGATAAGAAATGTGGGAGGAGGAAACAGAGAGTCTCACGGTGTAATGACACCTCCTCCCTCTTCTCCTCCTCCTCTTCTCTCCATCATCGGCTGGACCGTGGCTTCCAGGCAGAATGGAAAACGCCACGTTGCATCGTTGCTTTTTTCTATCTCCCTCCCTCCCTCCCTCCCATCCAGCTGTTCTTCACATCAGCTACACTGTGGGAACAGACAGGAGTAATCTACCAACCCAAAAAAAAGAAAACCCAGCAGAACAAATCCCAGAGTGTGCGTTTGCATAAAAGAGCGTGAGGAATTGGAGCTTGATTGCTTCTGTCTGTTAGTGGACGGCAGGTGTTTGAAAACTGAATCATGAATCTGTGATGAAGTAAATGTTCCACAGGCTGAAGGTTTGCCATGAACTCACTAGAAGACTGAATGTTTTCACTAAGTTTCACAGCCGTAAAGGGATTCAGACTGAAGCTTCAGAGATTTAACATGTTAATGAGTAATATAGAAAAAGACCCAGGCAAGATGCATGTAGCAAAACATACAAATCAGTTTATAGGCTAAAGCAAACAACCAATAATATGAGCTAAATTCCACTAATATAAAGTAAATACTTGTTGCCTTTAAAGAGACCTTCTGCTTGCTTTTACATACAGCTTCCCAAAGGGATGTCCTTGTGGTATACAGGGGATAAGTAAGTAAACTTCAATTGTACAGCTCCTACTGTAAGGCACAATAAGAAAAGCACAAAACAGATTTAAATATGTACAAAATAACTAGCCTTAGAGCACAGCAAGGCTCTGAGCTAAATTCTACCATCGGCACAATAACATGCTCCCAATGACAATGTTAACATGTTGGTTTTAGGCAGATATCATGTTTATTTTCCATTTTCACCAGCGTAGTTTAGCATGTTAGCATGCTAACATTTTTTAATTAGCACTAAGCACCACATGAAATGAGTGGGACACGAATGTATGCACCACATGCCATGGAAATAGCCGTCGAGACATTTCACTAGAAGCCACAAATGTCAGTCTCGTAGTGGCACTTCAAGGATAGTCTGCACATTGCCAAAGTCTGTTGGATACATCCTCAAAGTGTCATAGCAATTCATTCAACAGTTGTCTGGAGTCTGGTCAAAAAACTGGACGGACCAACCGCACTGTTTCCCACATATAGACTTTACCTCGGCGGGCCGCCCAGGTATGTTTTGCGACCCATTTTAGCATTTGTAGAGAAACACAAGAGATACGTTACAAGATGCAGACACACTTAATCATGCTTTAGTTGGCACAATATTGTAGGTGGAAAAAGAGATGTTGACAGTGAACTTTTAGTTGCAGATATGTTTAATATCAATCATGCTGAGGCGTAACTACGGTACACTTGCGTATAAAACATTGTTAGTCTTCCAGTAATTGTGAAGTCCTTCATAAACTGAAGCTTTCTGTGTTCAGGCAGCAGGAAACGTCTGCAAGGGTCCATGTGAGGTAAATCCTGTCACCTGCTCACAGCTGTGTGGACGTATGCAGCCCAAATTGAACGACTGAGCAACTGTGCACCAGGACTGTGTCTGCACGTGTGGGTCCATCGGCATTACACCTATTAAAGCACCCGCGAACGGTCACCATGAATAAAATGACTGATTTCTCTGGGTCTGAAGTTTGAACATTGTTGGAAGCATTTGGGATAATGTGGGATAGTACACAACTCAAAAACATCAGCCAGTGGAAAAACTACTAGAACCCCAAAACGACAGGTTCCAGATAAACTATCAGTGGGAGAGTTCACATTAAGCCCCACCTACCAGGGCAGGAAGAGTGAGGGAGGGAGGCTGTAATGGGAGGTTTGGGTGAAAGGAGGGGGGCTGTGTCCTAACTGGGACGTCCCACTGGAAATGTCTTCTGTGTGAACTGCTGTGGCTGTTAGATCGTCCCGGGCCCCGCATACTGCTGACTTCTCTTCTGGTATCCCTGCTCTGCAAAGCTATAGGTAAGAGCTCGGCATCTCTGAACTGTCATTTATCTTCTTACACTGGGCAGGAGTGACTTCAGCGATGTGTAGCTGCTCTGCAGAAGAATAAGATAATATTTTACCCTTCCAGTCTGCAAGATATATGGGGGAAGAGAACGTAGACAATGAGAAGTTAGCAGGAACTTAGTGACACATTTAGGTTTTTGTTCTTTGTGACAGTCTAATCACGCGATAAAACTTTACTTTCATGTTTGAGCAAATGTTTGCTGAAGTTGAACCTTGAAATGCAGATTGTTTTCTCACATTTATTTGCAATAAATCATGTAAAATATGCGGTTTTTCGTTTTATCTATTAACTTACTTTTAAACTTACTTTAAAATGATGGACATCTGGTTTAAAAAGGCTGCTACTGTGGCCTCAATTGTCAGCAAACAATCTCCCTTGTCATTACTGCTGAAACAGCTACAAGGAAAATCACTCCCTGCAGGTAAACAAGCTGTGATTATGAGTGTTCATTCTCTGTGGAGGTATTGTGTGCCACATCGGCACAGGAGGAGGAGGCGGAGGGGGGACTGTGGGTTAAAGCTTGGGTGTGTGGGTGTGTGTGTGTGTGTGTGTGTGTGTGTGTGTGGGGGGGGGGGGGGGTGCTGATATGCCATTAAATTTTTTTTGGCTTTGTCTTATCCTGAGGTTTGATTTTCTACTGTCAAATAATTACTGTTTTGTAAAATGATTAATTTGCTGTCAGAGTTTAGTCTAGATGCAAGATGAAACTGCTGCTGTGTTTTTGTTTTTTTAAGAACTCTGTATAAATGGACTTCTGCAGGGTTTATCGCTCTGAAAAAGTGGTGTGATAATAAAGTGACTAAACAGAAGGAAAGATAGAGGGAGGGAAGTGGAGGAGTGGTGGGGGTGCACGGGATTCCAACAAGCCTAATGGGAGCCTTTCTCCGACAAATATCTCTCCCTCCCTCCCTCTCTCCTTCCCTCCCTCCCTCTGTGACTCCCCCTCTCTGATTACTCTCATGTAGAGGAATGCAGGTTGCCGTGGTAACCGGTAACCAGCTGTTCTAAATGCTCTGTTAGTTAGTTCAGATGCCTTCAAGTGTCTGGACGTCACTCATGCTCACCCACAGGGCGAGGGATTTGCAGAAAGAGGCTGAAGTTCTTGCATACTTTGGGTGATTGTTTGGTCTGGGGCTGTTTTTTTTTATAGTTTGTACGGTGGCCCTTAGTTTCACTGGAGGAAAATCTTAATGCTACAGCAAAAAAATGTGTCAACAATTTTCAACATGACAACACCCCCGTGCACAAACCTAGCTCCATAGATAAATGACTTGACTGGCCTATGAACCCCATGCAGCACCTTCGTGATGAACTGGAACACCAACCGTGAGCCAGACCTGATCACCAACATCCGCGTTGGACCTCACTGATGCTCCAGTGGCTGAATGAGAGCAAATCTCTGCAGTCATGTTCCACCATCTGGCGGAAAGTCTGAAACCAGGGGAGTGGAGGCTGTGATAGCAGCAGATTAGTGTCTCTGTTTTTGCAGTGACACGTGTAGTTATCACAAATGGCATTAGTACGTTTGTCTTAGCAGGGGTTGGGCCGGTTGTTACAGAATGAACTTACACAAGTGTGACACAAGTCTCCACGTACACTGAGAATAAACTTAGACATCTTGTGTTCATTAGTTAAACTTTTTATGCACATTCAACGGTTCTGGATTTTTCAATGTGAGGAAAGGACCTGTTGGCAAGTAAATTACTAATTTGACATTTTTGTGGAAAAACATTTTATAAAATGCCAATTGATGATCTTTCTTTTTTAAGCATCATTGGTATTTAAGTTGTTTTATATACAAAATACATAACAAAATTAACAAATTTTATTCTGTTTCTGCTTCTTCCAATCTTTTATTATTTATGCCACTGTTGAGTAAAATATTCAACGCCATGTTTATTTAAGGTTGCACAGATACATCAAGTGGAAATGTTCTAAAACTAGAATTTGAAGTTGTAATTTCTCAGACTTTCTCCTTTCAAGTTGTTTCAGTCCAATCTGACGCAATAGAGATTCCTCCTGCTCTGAAACCACATTATACTCTCCAATCCTTTCCTCACTCCTCACACTGAATTACACGTTTAAAAGACAGTTTGAGTTGAGGCTGAGTAGACAAACGTTATCACTCTCTTTTGATTGTAAATTAGGTTCTTGTTTTACGCTTTCGTCACACCTGACGAGGATTTTTCCAAGCTGTCTTTGGGAGGACTGAAGGACAATGTGTCTGCATTAGTATGGGTGAGGTGGAGACAGAGCGGCTTTGGACGCCTAATTGTTGAGGTGGCAGGTCTGGAGCAAAGTGGGAGGGGGTGTGTGGGCGTTGGAGCTGAGGATGCTGGGAAATATTGGGCCAGCTTGGCAATCTCTAGAAAAGCACTAATCCCTGGACAGGAAGGAAGGATTGTGCTGCTGTCTGGGCTCGACGTGAAGAAGAAAAACCTGGAGTTTAGTGTCAGCAAAGAGAGACAAAGGCAGACAGAGAAAGACAGGAAGAAAGAGGCAAGGAATAAAAGAATGAAGGGAGAAACAGAAACACAAAGATGATGAGGCTCAAACAAGTGGAGAATGGAAAAAAAAGAGCCGGGGAGAAATAAGCAGGGAGAAATTATGAAAATTAAGAAAACACTAAGGTTTAGAAAAAAGGAGAGACAAATTAGAAGTTCAAGACATAGTCAGACATAATGAGAAGTAAGCAGAAAACAAACATGGAGACAGATAATGGAGTGAAAGCTAGGCAGACAATAAAAAAGATTTAAATAAAATATAGATAAAGGACAAAAAAGAGGAAAGCGAAATCAATGTGTTTAAAGAGAGAGAGAAAAAACAGCTGGAAAATTATTCTTGAGCTGCTTGAATGACTGTTATTAGTGGTTTAAGTGTGTGTGTGTGTGTATATATGTACAGTGTTGTGGTTTATTATTGCATTTTCACTTTGAATTACTGCCACTATTATGAGACTATAATGAAAGTTTTTGCTACACACCGACTTGCTGCCATACCGACCACATAAAGTACGTGGCTTCTGGCCTCTTACAGTGCACAGACAACAAAAAGACTGAGATGGGTCACTGGAAATGACAAAAGCAATCTCAAGCACAGCTTTGCACTGAGAACATCAAAAAAAACGATTTTAGTTCATCTTTTTAGAGAGGCGGAGGTGGTCTGATGAGAGCAAAATCAAGATTTACAAAAGCAGTTACTTATTATTAACAGTAATAACACTAATGTAAAAAGCCACAATGAAAAAGAGAGAGCAAGAAGAAAAGCCAAATGCAATTGGAGCCATAGGAAAGCGAGGGCAAAGCATAATTTTCTTTAGTGGTTCACTGAAAGGCTCAGTTCATTGAATTCAACCCAAACAACAATACAATGTTCGGCTTTTTTAAAGATTTTTCTGGGACACAATACAATTATTTTTGGTCTTAAACCACAGCAGAGAACTTGGAGAGAAGACATGAAAAGAAATGCTAAAGGGAAACTGGCTCAGAGCAGTTTGTTTAAAGTGAAGTGTAATTCTGTGGAAAGCAAGAAACAGAGGATGTGTCCTGGTGAAGGAAAAGGGGGGAAGGTAAAAAGCAGAGTCAAAGAGGTCAGGTGACAAGGAACTCAGGTTACATATATCCTGACTTTCCTCTTCTTGTTTGTGCTCTTTGTGCTGGTGATGGGGATGACCGGTGGTCTCTCTGAAACTACTCTTTGTCCAGGCAACTTAAAGGGGTCCCCCCCCCCCCACACTCTCTAGAGAAAAATTTAATTTGTTCGGTGTCTTATTTCCTGTTGAAGAGGTAGCTCGGATGGAAGGGGCTTGATATTTTAACAAGAAACATCATGCTGTAGTCCCAGTCGCTATAGGTGACATCATAGAGAAGACGTCCATGTTTTGTACAGTCTGCATGCACATTACCTGACTTCATCATCTGTCACTCGTAGTTTATTTATAACACTTTGCTAACTGACCGCAACGGGCTTAGAGAGGCTTTACTGTCAGACTCAAATCTCTTTGCAGGGTTTCTAACATGTGTTTGACCTTTTGCGTTTTTGTTTTGGTCCCCCCAAAAAAAGTCAGCATGGAAGAGCCTTCTTCTTTGTCTTGCTCATATGGACGGATAACATTTCTCCTTTGGGAGCAAAGAGGAAGCTGTCAAAAAATGACTCAACACTGACACCTCTTGTTTTGTCACAATGCTCAACAAGCGTAAAGTTTCAAGTGCAATTGTAACAATTGAGCACTGGGAGACCCCGACTAGCACAGGACCAGTAGCACTTCAGGATGAAAAGTGATTTGAGAGATATTTTTATGTGGCGTTTCTATCACATGTGCTCTTTTTTAGATGTCTGGGAATTGTAATCCAAAAGGTATTTCATGACCTCCACCATTATAGTGCCTTGTCTACAGAACTCAGTATAGACGGAGGAAATCACTGTTTCTTCTCAGAGACTTCACTGAATATTTGCCTCTTCATAGTCCTTTGCATGCCAGTGATGTTTGTCTGCACTGTTTTCTGGCAGACAGGCTGCTACAGGTTGTTTTTCCAGGCCTCCAAACCCGCCTGTTATGTCACAGAGGAGAAGAAGAAAGAATTCCTCTAACTGCTCCCTTTAAAGAGCATCTGAAAAAGAGGCAGAAGCAGAGAGAAAGTGAGGGAGATTTCTGAATTTGCAGCAGTTCCAGTGCAGGTTGTTTACCTCCATATTGAGTTTACACTTGCTTACCTAACTAGCCTCCCAAATTAAATACATTTGAGGAGAAAAAGGGCGCCTTTATGAGCCTGAAGTTCCCCTTTTAGCCTCGGTCCTGTTTGATTATGAGAGCAGCTTTCCAAATAAAATAATTTGCTTTGCTGTTACATCAGTCCTCCTCTTTCCTGCCGAGCAGAGCCGAATGACTCTCTGGCCAAACAGGAATATGTTAAAGACGACATAGGACGGGAACACCGTGTCCCTCCAAATCAAACACTTACCTCACACTTTTTGGAGATGAGACCTTGTTTGATTCCCCCTCTTTGCGATCACATTAAGCTCTCACTCTCAGGCAGACACGCTTCTTATATGTGTGACATAAGTTCTTTTTTCAAAATTTCCTGTCTGCAGAACACCTTGCTTTTTGTTTTGTTTTTATAGCTCAGCTTTTTGAAAAGTACAGAGAAGTTTCCTTGTGTGCAGGTTATTTGGAGACATCACTGTCTGCATCCTCTGCCAGGCGTTCTGTATTTTTCCACATCCAAGTCTGCTTATGTCTTTCTCATCTCTGGACCTTCATGAACAGTGATCACCATTGTAAATGTCTTCCCTTAACTCTGCATTAAGCACCGAAAGATTTGTATTTTCCTTTGACAGGTGGAACAAAACAATGCAACAATAATCATGTTGCTTTTTAGTTTTATTCTCCAGAATGATTCTCCTCTTTAAGTTGTGGAGCATCTCTTGTTTTCCTATCCCCAATGTTCTGCCAGTCTGGAACTAACACTTTCTTCCTTTCTTTTTTCTAACATCTAAGGTACAGACACCCACATCAAAACAGCTGTGCGGATCCGTGGTGTGATTTATTGTCCAGATTACTGTCAGAACTGAGAAAAATCCAAGAAAAACCATGTTAGATGTAGTTAAGATGTTAAGTTGTTTACAGCAAGTGTAGCTAGCACTACTTTTTTGTACACGGTCATTAGAAATTGATTACCTTGATGTGGCGGATCTAACTCTGCATTGTGCCGTGCAGAAGAATAAGACCCCAGTTTCCGTAGTGTACTTGTAGAGAAACAAAACATTCACAGGGTCTCTATTTCATAAATCCTCTAAACACATACCGCCATGGTCTCACTCTAACATCACAAGCTACATGGCAGCCCTGCTACACACATGCCTTGACAAACTTTCCTTTTGATTAACAGACTTATGCATTACAATAAAAATACCATATGTTTACTTTACATTGGTTAAAAGTAACCTCGCACCACATGTAGCAGAAAGCTGGGGCACAAAACAAGTAATTTAGCACAACAGCATCACACTAATGCACTGGAATTAAACGGATGTAAAAAAAATGTGAAAGAATACATGTCAGATACATGCATGATTGATGTAAACTGGGAGGCTTCCTCAAATGGCCATTGTAGTTGTAGTACATGGCTCTCCAGTCACATTCATCTGAGGGTTTCATTTGATGATAAAACTTGCACAAACTTGCTCTCAAGAAAGAATGCTACATCTTGCACAGCTGGATTACGCCACATACAAACACATGAGTCATTTTTGAACATGAAGGAAGGTCAATATAGCTTGGCTGTCCAAGTGCCAGAACGTTCTTGTGTCGCTTCAGGTTCATCAAACAACACATGTCAAAACCCTCCACTGGTGGTTGACTGTATGCAAACGTTACCCTTTTCATCGATTTCAAACATGTTACCCATTCAGATGCTTCATGTCAAGAGGCCCTCCTGCATTTTTTAGGACACCCGGCAACCAGCCAAGTGAAGTGTTCCTCCACCCCCAAAATGTTAAAATTCAGAGCCATGTCGTACATTTCCAATTCCACCATGTCTGAGTTGTTAATTGTAGCACTTTGTTGTAATAACAAAGTAAAAACAGAGAAGATTGGATCGTTTAGTTTTGATTTATTGTTGGTTTAAACCTGCTGCCCTCTTATCCGAGGTGCAGGAATACCAACTGTTCTCAGCCTTCTTTTGTAAAATGTGTTATTCTCCGTTGGTCTTCTGCAGCATTCATATTGTACAAACTGTGTCAGCTCACTTCAGTCTTATTGCCCCGCTAGAGGATTTTCTTTCTCAGCAGAGTAAAAACTCAAAAGAAACAAGAGATACAGTCTGTTGTTGTGAGGCAAATTCCAGTTCTTTCTGATATCAAGCAAAAAAAAAGAAACAACAAAACAAAGGAAATAACAGGGGGGATTTTTTCATCTTTACTGTCGGCCTCCCGAGACACTTACCCTTATATGTCCTTTGATGTCAGGAGGATAGAGATTGTTTCTGGTTGTCTGGGTGAAACAGCTGACTTCACAGCGGTGGAGAGAGAGATAACTAATAGAGAAAGAGGGAGGAAGACCAAGCAATGTCATGCTTCATTATCGAACAATGGAGCCCTTATTTAGTCCTTCAGAAGAGACACGATAGAGGAATAGAATCAGGGATGGAGAAGCGTTTAGAGACCCCAACAATGAATGCTCAGATCAGATGGAGAGGAAGAAAGATAGACAGATAGGGGGCTGATAGGGACTTTGCTCTCACGAAGCGACATGCAGCAAGTTTGTACCTTTTTATATAAAAAATGTTTTTAGTTTTTGAGCTACTTCAATAGTGGACCAAACAGCTGATTGGCACAGCAATCCATAGAACCACAGCACAAGTCTTTAAACTTTGAATATTATCGGCCTTACAAATACAAATACAGTACTGGTCCGGTTTAATAATAATAATAATAATAATACAGAGTTGAGATAGGTTTAGTGGACGGGTAGAGCTGCGTGTCATCAGCATAGCAGTGGAAATGGGTGTTAAATTTACGGAAGATATTGACAAGAGGAAGTAGATAGATGACGAACAGAAGGGGCCCCAGGACAGAGCCCTGGGGAATACCAGTAGTGACTAGAGGTAGCTGTGATTTGAAATGCCTGAGTTGGATGAACTGAGTGTGGCAAAAGAAATAGGATTTAAACCAGTTGATTTAATTTGTAGTAATATTATAAAAAAGTTGTCACCTTTTGTAACATTTTGTTGAGACATTTTGTTTCTTTGTTGAGAATATGTACGATGTGGAGTTACTGTAAATGGCGTGAGAATATGTCGCTCACATGGAAAAGGTTTTCTTACACATGCTGTGATTCTATGGTAGATGTAGAGCAGAACACATGCAACATAGGAAAATCTAATATCACAAGCCTGTAGCTTTTATCCAAATCATCTCATAGTAGTATTATACATAATAGGAGCTGAACATTGCTCCACCAATTCAGTTACCCAGAACCACACATCAGGGTCAGATTCTTACACGTTTGTCTGTTTATAGATGTATGTTTAGGAAAGTTTTATGGAGAGTCATTTTTCCAAACAGAAGCCTGGTGGTTAGATGAAGAGTTAAAGTATACTGCTGTGGTAGTGTACATAAAGACAGGAGCTGTTTACATGCCTGTTTCTATCTAAATGGCAGAAAGATGAGTTGACCCAGGCTGTTACAGTCGTGTTTCTGAAACCTAATTTAGTCCAGTCAGCCACTGTGCTCATTCTGATTTATGCTCCAGAATGAAGAGAAAATCCTGTCAGTGGGCGAAATGATGTTCTGGGAGAGTCTTTTTAACATAAACCCAAACAGCCAGAGACAATTTCGACACAACCTGCCAGTAAACAAAGCAGACAGTGAGGGTTTTGTTCAGGAAACTGAAGAGCTTCCATTAGCCTGCAGAGAGAGTTGTGTTATATGTTGTGTCCAGATGTTCTTGTTATCTATAGAAAGACTGCCGGTCTACATGAGAGTAGGGTTTGTTATTTCTTTTAGACTTAATCAACTCTAATTCAGATTTTTTTACATTCTGGAACTTATTCTACTCATTTTTTTGAGAACATAAAGAAACAAAAATTTAGGGAAAGGAAAAAGTCTACTGCATTTTCAGCAGGCTGCTAAGAAAACTAAATATATTATAAATATTCTTGCAATGTTAGAATGACTACTAGTAGTACTACTCCTACTACCGCTATTACTGCTAATACTACTGAGAAGAGAATGAGTTGCAAAGTGCATAACAAAAGCAAGTACACATCAGTATACATCAGACCGAGTAAAATAAAATGATCAAAATGAAAATATTACATTGATTACATTTCACTGTATTAGTGTTCTCTTTTGTGAGGCTTATAGTCAGACTTGTGTGCTGACATGGTGAGAAGCTACACAGCAGAGCCACATTAAAAAAAAAAAAGATTTCAAATATGAATCAGTATTTCCCACAAAAAAAGGAAAAATATTATAATTCAGAATTGTTTTTTTTTTGTTGACTGGGTTAAACTTACAACCGCTAATGATGTTATATTGGATTTACTATATGCAGACGATGAAAGCTTATCATTAAAAACATTTAATATTGTAATAATTATTCAAATCTAATCACATGAAAGTCACTCCTCCTCTTCAGTTCTGCTCAGGAATAATCTTTTTCAACAGAGCCATCAGGAAAGTAGATATAAGTTTACGTGGCTTTGTTTTTTGTTTTTGTTTTTGTGAATACGGTTGGTTCACCTGTCGCTCTGCTGTGTCTCCACAGACTTTGAAGATGAGGGTGTGGATCGTCTTCGTCCTGTGCCTGGCTGGCCACGCCATGGCTGCTCCTGTAAGTCATACTGTGCGTGTGTGTGTGTGTGTTTGTGTGTGTGTTCTTAATGCAAGTCTGTGAAGATGAAATGTTTGCTTTCCTAAATCCAATTGCTCCCCTGAGTGTATTCTGTGTGTTTGTGTGTGCATGTGTACTATTGTGTGAGTGCACATGTGAGTGAGATCATTGTCTACTTTTGACTTCCTTCACTCAAGTGTTTTTGTTTAAGCACCCACAAGTGTGTGTTCATGCGCAAGAGTTCTAATGGTTTCACATGTGTGTGTCCCAGACTGAGGAAGAGCCTATCGTGGAAGAGCCCATCGTGGAAGAGATGGTAACTGAGGAGCCAGTTGTTGAGGTCAGTCCCCATGTTCACCCTGTATGAAATGTAAATTGAGAAATGAAAAATAATTCTGTTGCAATATATTTGTTGTTGTATACCTTAATTGCATGCACACAGTATTCCTATGCAATCAGGGATTAATACTAACACAGCTCAATTTTTCTTTTACTTCTAAATAAAGCAGATATTCTGGATAAACTGTTGTTTACAACCTGTCTGATCGTCCCACGCTTGTGTTTCTTGCTCTTTGGACTTTGTTTGGATCTTAACAGTTACTTAAAACTTGCATTCATTTAGCTGCCACTTTTATCCAAAGCGACTTACAATTACTATATGTGTCAGAGTTCCAACCCGACACGCCTCTGATGGCTACTAGGTGTCTTGCTCAGGGACACATTGGTGGATGTGTCACAGTGGGAATTGAACCCGGGTCTCTCACACCAAGGGCATGTGTCTTATCTACTGCGCCCTGTTTCATTTATGGTGTTATGCTAATATTTGGTGGAAACTCGGCTCAAATACATTTGCTCTCATTTGAGTTTGATTTGGCGCCTGTGATGTGTTTCCTGAGCAGCTGCTCAGAGAGATGATCTGATCTGTGATGGAGCTTTGGGCTTTCGACACTGCAGCCAAAGAAGTTCAGTGGGATTTATGCATGTGACGCCCACAGCTGAATTACTCATTTGTTCAGCCTCTGAAAGAATCGATCCATCACAGAATAACTGAAAACTAAACGCCTGTCATGGAAAGCATACTGAACAATTGCAAGGAACAAACAGCCCGGTGTGTTTATTGCATTCAGTCAAATTCTGATTCTGCTAACAGAGGCCTCAGAGATTAGATATCTGTCATAATGCCGTGTTTGAAGAGTTCGCTTAGCTTTTTGTCGTTTGGATTTACTTTTTAACCTTCATAACACGATTTGTGAGCAGTGCACCTGAGGAGTTTATTTCTTCCTCAGATTGTTCTTTTTGAATAACTGTTTCATGCCTGAAGAGGTGGAAGTTTGAAATGTAGCTCTGTGGACCTCTCAGATGTTTCTTGGGATTCGCGGTTTCAACTTCCTGATTAAAATAATCTGAACGTTCTAATGTTTAGGAAAACTGCAGCAACTTTTGTTGCAGAGTTGAAAATCCCTGATGTCCGGTTGTTCCACTAAAGCTTAATCTGTTTCTGGTGGAAATCCTACATCGGGATATTTACCAAAATCTAACCAATCTGTTCACCAAATTCTACCCAAATCCACTGGTTTCCTCCGAGGCTTTTGACATCTCTTTCCAGCAAACAGACAAGGCGAAAACATGAAACCCTTTCAGCTCCATCCATGACGTTGCCTTATTAGGAGAGACAAGTCTCTCTTAATTGATTCTAAAAGATAGAGAAAAAAAGATAGAGAAAAAAAGACTTTTCTAACAGAGCACAATGTCTCTCATAACCTGTTGTAAACAATACGAAACTACCAAAATATACCAGTACAAAACCAGTGGAGTGAGTCTTTGTGTGAACTGATTATCGTTTCCTGCTCCAGAGGTCCAGCGGGACCAGAGATCCCACAGCTGTTAATTTTAGCCGTGCATTCAGCTCGCCAGCCGGTCAGGAAACCATTAAGTTTTTTCATGGCTTCACCACATGTGGATCCAGCTGCTTGTTATTGTTGGATATTACAGTCTCTCTGCTCCCAGACTCTGTTTGGCCTTCAGGGAGGAACCTTCTTTAGTGGTGACGTTTAAACCTTTTTTCAGGAAAACCAGGGATATTTAAGCGGTTTGGTTTAAGTGGACATCGTGTAGAAATAGACCTGAAGACTGTTGCACGGAAATCATCTACTAGACCAAATTCAGAAAGTGCATCAAGAAAAAAAAACAAAGAAGCAGGCAGTTTCTTCACTCAGATTTTCGCTTTGATCACTTTGTTCCCCAAATGAGATTAAATTCCCCAGCATGTGACTCATAAAGCTTTGGCTGCTTACAGTCTGACCTCTGACCTCTCATGTCCCCCAGGAGGCCGAGGTGGGGGCCAACCCAGTGCAGATTGAGGTTGGAGAGTTTGATGAGGCCATTGAAGTTGTTGAAGATGTTGTTGCTGAGAGTAAGTTCACAAACACACACAAACTTGTTTTTGTCACTTAGGATAAGATTGCATTGATTTACTGAAATGAATTCCCAGAAGACTTACTCTAAACTAGCCACTACATGCCTAATCTCACCCCTATCTCTAACCAGAAATCAAGCCTTAACGCCAACATTTAATGGTTTATTATGTATGTAAGGATCAGAGTTTTGTTCTCATACTGGTAGTAAGTCCCCACATTGTGACTGTGTGAACATTTCTATATTAAAAAGATTAAAACTTGAATAGAAATTGCTGCAAAATGTATGTCCATTACATTACATCACAATATACACACACATAAGTGTGGCACACATGCATATGTAAATTTGGAGTCACCTGACCTCAAATGAAAAGCTGAAGTCAAACGTTGACATATCCTTTAGTTTGAGAAGTCTCAGTCACTCCACTCCACCTCCTCTGAAAACATTTGACTTTGCTGCATTTCTCTCCTCTGCCCTCCAGCTATAGTATCTGGGTTTGCAATGGTTAGTGACGCCTCAGACTGGCAAATCAAACAGTCGTAATGACAGACTGCCTCATTCTGTGAGGAGAAGGCTGTAATTATGTGTTCCACCCTGCTCGGCCCAGTAACTGAGCCGCAGGCAACGCCAGCGGCACGAAAACAGTCCAACTGTACAAAATGTACAGGGTGAGATATTTAGTTCTGCCTGAGCAGTGCTGGAAGATGTACTCAACTCCTTTACTTCTGTTAAAAGTAACAAATACCAACCACTAATTCACCTGGTGGTATCTACCCATGCAGACAGTTTTAGTTTTATACATTGATATTTTGAGATCTGTCTCCATATCTGCATACATTGGAGTTGAATGGAATTTCTTTTTGGGTATTCAAAGTAACTAAATAACTTCCTAAGAAATTTGATCATCCAACATTAAATTTAATTTTTATAGTGAATGGTTTCTTTGGAAACTAGTAATGTGTAGCTTTTCCATGTCCACCCTCCATCCATCCATATTGGAGATACATTTAGAGGAGAGACAGAAGGAATTCAGTAAGGAAACACGAAAGGACAAAAGGAAGTTTTCTCTTGTTACATTAGATGCTGGGTGGGTAGCAATGGCTATCTCAAAATTAAAGAAAACAAATAATACAACAGCTTGGATTGATCAGAAATGTCTGTGCACATTTTAGCACCATATAAAGCACTATAGTGTCTTTACTAGAGACAGAAACTAAACTACAACACCCTTCTGCTCTGCTACTGTCCAACAGTTTGTGCCTTTAATTTTGACATTTTTCCATGACCTTTGCTGTTTTCCATAGAGCAGCATTTTCAGGACTGTAATTTTCTTTATAACTGAACAGTAGCTAAAGCCAAGCACAAACTCTTTCATGACAGTTTTCTTGTTTATTCAGTCATTTTGTTTATTAATCTTCTAGTACATGGATGCTTTTAATTTGAGTTTTCATTTGGCAAACTGCACTAAAAGACAAAAAAAATATTTGTGTCTGGATTGAGTCATGTCTGTTTAGCCTCAGTTAAATCAGTGTTTCACACAGGAGCTTTTTTTCTGAGAAACAGACTGTAACACTTCTTCCGTGCTTTTTTCACAGATCCCTGCCTGAACCACCACTGCAAGAAGGGCAAAGTTTGCGAGATCGACGAGAGCAACACGCCCATGTGTGTGTGCCAGGATCCCTCCACCTGCCCCGCTGCTGAGGGAGAGTTCGAGCATGTGAGTTTGAAAACAACCAGCCCAACAGTTCTTTAAACTTGTCTTTATTCTTAAACTGGTAACTCATCACCAAGGATAGGTCCAATTTGTCTGGCAGAACAGATTTTGAAGGTACTTGGTGACGGGTCAGGCCTTGAGACTAACGGTGATATAAATACATTTTGGCCACCACTTGGCCACTGTGTTTAGCCACGAATATATCTCCTTTCTTGGACTAACACTTATCTATTCATCTCTGCCTGAACAGATGTTCAACCAGAACTTTTTACAAAATGAATAAGTGATAACAGAATTCCAGAAAACAATGATTAAATGATTAAAGTAGTCACAAAGCAGAGACACTAATCTCTTTGTTAGGAGTTTGGTTCTCTAAGGATCTAAATATGTAGCCATAACATTATGATTTGTTTTGAATGCAGCCATTTCTGAATCATCAAGTCATCAAGCTCAGAGCTGAGAGAAGTCATCTGTCTGTGTTTTCTTTTTCAGGTTTGCGGCACTGACAACAAGACCTACGACACCTCTTGCCACTTCTTTGCCACCAAGTGCACCCTGGAGGGAACCAAGAAGGGCCACAAGCTGCACCTTGACTACATCGGATCCTGCAAATGTGAGCCCTCACGCACTCTGATTCAACATATCTAGCTCTTGCAGAGAACAAACTTACAGTACAGTCAGTCAGTGAGGACAATGGGAATTAAACCACTAATCCCCTCCAGTATTTGGGAGCTATTGTTACGGCTTTGAAAGGCTTTGAAACAACAAAAAGCTAATTAAATAGATAGAAAATCAACGACCCCAAAACACTGACATATAATAATAATCATTTGACTGACGCTTTTATCCAACACAGCTTACTTACAATTGCTATGTCAGAGGTTGCACGCTTCTGGAGCAATTAGGAGTAAAGTGTTTTGCTTCGGGACACATTGCGAATGTGTTGCCCACATCGTTGTTTGTTGTTAAGGCAATATGATGGAGAGCCAAATACTTACTTCTGCCTTTAAAATCTTCTTCAAGATAAATTAAAGGTGGGTTAAGCAATTCTAATCCAATCCAAGCCTTTTGTCAAATTCAGCTAATCTGTCTTCACTGTACAGCTGTTTGTTCTGTGTGTGTGGTGAGTTTGTATACTCTGTAAATAGGAAACAAAGTGGTCCCCCAACCCGCCACGCAACACTATTCCAGCCGTGATTTGTGTGTCACTAGTGTTAAATGACTTGCCCACCGACATTCAGCTTCCTTTCTAGTTGGCTAAGACATGCTGTTGTTGTGATGTTAGCTATAGAACCGTCTCATCCTCTCTGCACGTTAGCTTTGCAGCAGCAACTGTGCTGTTTGCTAACCCACAGCGTAGCTAGCGTTTGTTGTGGAATTGGATTTCTCCAGAATCACATTATCCATCTTTAACCACTTTGGCTAGAATTTGTATCTCTTTATCTGTGGTTGCAGTTTATGAATTTTCTTCCGTGTTTTGTTTTGCCATCATGTGGTTTCTGTTGTTGATCTGTTTCTGTTTGCTACTGTGGGATCTGGTTTATCTTATGTTCCTGAGTATTTTGTGGTCCTACTAATCTGATTGATAAGCTAAGAAGCCGAAGCTCAGATGTCCCTGTGTACAGTTAGCGTTCACTGTCTTGCATCTCGGTGTTGCTGTGATGGATGGGCAGATCAGACGTCTGGCCTGCAGGCTGCAGCTCAGCGTTGTGGAGGATCTGTGCAGACACGCTGGCTGCATTTCTTCCGCTGCTGAAACTGAAACATGACACATGCACACACACAAACATTGTGAGGAGATGACTCAGGGCTGAATGGTTCAAATGGAGATCAAGGTGTGGTTCAGTAAATCAGAATAAAACGTGATGCAGGTTGTGATTTTGGGATAGTTGAGAATGAAATGGTGGATATTTAGATGCTGATTCTTTTTTTGCTGTTAAATTTTCATCGCACTTTTGGTTTAAGAAAGTAAGTAAAGTTCATTGTGCAGTGAGTCTACTAGTCCTTGGGTGGGAATTTTACATAATGTATGTCCATGTATCTGAATTTCAATAAATGGTAATAACAACGATATGTTTAGAGATCAGTTAAAACAACAATATTATGTTGATAAAGTCAATAACAAAAAAGTAACATTTGAATGAAAGTTTTATTGAGATATTTCTGAATGAACAAGAGGTCAGTTTGTCTTTTTGACTTCGAAATTCTTCTTTCTTTTAAATATAACTTAATTTATTCCAACTCATGTAACAATATAATGTTCACAAGAATCATTAAATGTCTTTTAAAAAAGAATGCAAGTTTTGATGTGGTTAAAGCTTTTCAGTTTGCCTCAGCTGTTTTCAAAAGCACACCTCAATTAAATTATGAATCAAACAAACAAAGTAATGCTCCTACTCCACCTGTCAACTGCAGTGTCAGCAATGTCACGATTCCATTTTAGAAATTTCTCTTCTCTTCACAAAGTGCCTAAGCGAAGTCAGGGCTTGATGTTGAATTTATTGCATAATACGCATCTGCTTTTGTTCATGCTGACAGTGTTTTCTCTCTGCAGTCATCGAGCCCTGCCTGGACACTGAGCTCACCGAGTTCCCCCTGCGTATGAGGGACTGGCTGAAGAACGTTCTGGTGACCCTGTACGAGCGCGATGAGGACAACAACCTGCTGACCGAGAAGCAGAAGCTCAGGGTGAGGAGTCATTTTGGTAAAGAGAGATTCAGGGGATACTTCTCTGTCCAGGCGTTTCGTTGGTGCCACTGTTGAATGTTCAAGTGTAGGGGCTTATTTAAATTTTTTCGGTGTAAGATGTAACCTGTTGATTGTTGTAGGTGGATGTGTTGGATATATTATCAGGCCTTGGCAAACATTTTATAGGATGAATAATGATCCATTTAGCTCACAGCACAAACATACAAAGAGTGTTTAAAGTAAGCATTTAATGTCCTCTGTCAGACACTAAACTTAAAGGGTCTGAAAGTTGCCAAACAGTCAGCAAGAATTCACAAGCTACCTTTTATAGGCATGAGAATCACATTTACATAGAGGAGAGTCACATTAAACACAGAGGGTTTGCTTCCAAGGTTCTTTAAAAGAGAAATGCCTCAAATATTGAGAGATATTGCTACCAATGGTGAAGGGTAAAGCTTGTTCACTGGTGCACTACACAATGTTTTATGGCATGTGTTTAAAACTTCGCTCATAAAGAACAAACTCTAATCCAAACAGTTTAAAAATGTAATTCATTCAGACTGTTAGGTCAGACTGAAACGCACCTAAATACCAGAGAGAAGTTTTAGATCCACTCTACTAGCTTTCATGCTCCTCATCACTCTGCACCGATGAGAGCTGATTTGACTTCTGTAGATCATTGAGAATAGTTTTACTTTCACAAACAAGCTTTTGATTCACAATATGACAAGAGCGGTAGTTTCAGGATGCAGACCAAAGTGTGCTGTACTGCAAACTGTCCAGAGCTTTTAGATGAATCTAATCACTAAAGTGCTAATTAGACTGATTATTAGATTTGCAGCACATATTTTCAACAATCGACATCTAAACCACACAATAAGCTTATTAGGGGTCATATAAGCAGTTTATTTTTTGGTAATGTGGATTGTGTCTGTCCGATCCTTCAGGTGAAGAAGATCTATGAGAATGAGAAGAGGCTGCAGGCTGGCGATCACTCTCTGGACCTGCTGGCTCACGACTTCGAGAAGAACTACAACATGTACATCTTCCCAGTCCACTGGCAGTTCGGCCAGCTTGACCAGCACCCCAACGACGGGTACGTAGGAGACCAAAAGGAGTAGTTTTATATCCAATCAGACTTCCGCAGCTATCTCTCATAGATGGAAAAAATGAGGAGCTCTCTTGGACAAACCTCAGCCTCTGACGTGTGGCACATGTAAGGTCCTGCAAACTGAAATATCTGTGTTGCTCAGGCAGTGGTTGAGCTTCTGGCAGACTGAGAGCTGACTGGTTTCCAGTGTGGATGATGAATGATGAACTCATGCCATACTGATGGATCAAACAGTTGCTGCTGTTCACTTTACAACTAGTTATTCTAAAAAATGATGATGTGGCTGCTAGACTCTACATGCACCAGCAAGAACCTAAACTAAGACACACAGACATTGACAGAATCATACCGTGAAAGTTTTCCCATAATGAATCTTGTTCTTGTGTCTGTACGCCACCAGATACCTGACCCACACAGAGCTCTCCCCACTGCGCGCCCCTCTCATTCCCATGGAGCATTGCACCACCCGCTTCTTCGAGCAGTGTGACGCTGACAACGACAAATACATCGCCCTGGAGGAGTGGGCCGGCTGCTTCGGCATCAAGGAGCGTGAGTATTGACTGTGTGCCTGAATGTGATCACCAAACAACAAAAATAATGATCTTAAATTAAGCTTATCACGATGCTTACTGTAGCTTTAACGAGGTTTAGCTGCGGGAAATGAAAGAGACCCTTTTTATTGACCTTTTATTTAAACTGCCCAAAGGTGACATCTTGAAATTTCTGGTTTTGTCCAACCCCCAAAGATCTTTCAATTTATTTAATTTCAATAATAGAAAACAAAGAAAAGCAGCATTTTTCTTAAGTTTACCTAAGAAATATCATATTTTGTCTTTGCATATGCTTAAAATATTTGTTGTTAATATTTGAAAACCTGTCACTTACATCCAAAAGAAGAAACGCTGCTACAACACTCTAATTTTTGTGGTTTTGTATTGTATTGTTAAGCACTGTTCTCCTTACACATTCATTTATTTGATATTTTGTTATGATCACTGTTGCCACGTGGGTCAGGATGTTAACATGTGCTGATGGATGTTTTGTGTCTTTGTGTTTGCAGAGGACGTGGACAACGACCTCATCATCTAAGCTCCTCTGAGCAGCAGCAGTATGACAACCCCTAGTCGCTACTAACGGGACAAGGTGCTGATCCCTAAGTTAAAATAAATCACAGTAACGGTGCTAATTGCTAATTATTTTCTATTTTGTTTTTCCAGTAATGACCTTTTCTACCGATACCACTAAAAAAAAAAAGATTACAAAAGAGAAATGTGCATAGTCTGTACTAACCATCACAAATTCATGCGACTTTGAATTCTCTTGTTTGTTGAACCCAGTAGAGAAAACTAAAGACCTCTGATGTAAATGTATGTTGTTGACAATATTATATATGCTATGATTTGTGCAGGGTTTTAATTGGAGATCAATTTGAAACAGTATCTTGAGGAGACAAAACTGTAAAGTCAAAAATAAAGTTTCTAAATAAATGCTCCCTCTGCTTGCTTTCTACAAACCAACTATTTAGTTTTTGCACTCTTTTGGTGGTGGACTCATTTTGTGTTTGTTTGGTTTTTTTTGGTTTTCGATCTTTTGACTACTGCTTTAAGAGCTGTTCAGTTTTATTTTCCATACAGCTTCCGTGTCCCGTGTACTGATATTTGAAACAATAAAGAGGATATATTGTTTGGAGATTTAATGAGGGAAAAATCTCGCAGGCTGAGAGTTTTTCTCACAATTAACATGTTTCTACTGACACTGAGAGCACGACCAAACTCTTTCCATGAATAAAAGACTATGAAAAGATCTGGAAATCTCTGCATGCATTCATATCTGCGTCTCTTATCCCCTGCTAAGGAATTTTTTGTTGAGATGATCTGACAAGGGATCAGCATGACTCCATGACTCATCAGGAGGCCGGTGTGTTTACGAGCAAGACTTAACTCTGTACTCAAAATAATCTAGAGTCACATTTTTATAATTCTCAGTCGTTAAAACATAAGACGTCTTAATAAGAAGCTCTCGTCTCATCCTTAGGAGTCACTCTTCTGTATTGTCTGTCTCTGAATGCTGCCTTTGTGCAACAGTAACGCTTTTAAAATCTTCCCTCGCGTGTTGGAGACCCTAAAAAGAGCTATTTTACAAGCTTCTAAAACAAGCCTCTTCTTTTTCTTCTCCCGCAGCACGTTTTCTTTTCTAGTCCTTTAGTTTCTCAACTATGATCAGTCTACGGACACTGAGGTTTGACGTTTGTTTTCTATAATGTTGATGATCAACGTTTTCAGTTTATCCTGCTGTGAGACACACTCACAACTCACAACTCTAGTAGAGGAAATAACGGTTTATGAAGCCCCGTTTTGGTTTATTAGTCAGAATTTAAATCTAAAAAGGTTCAGTTCCGTTTCATTCAGGCAGCACACCAGCTCTGAAAAAACTAAAAAGTTTCCCTTTCAGTTTAGTTGTTTGCTGCAACATCTTGGAACTCAGATAATATAATTTTAATGTTTGGTCTCATGGCACCTTTTCAAATTTAAAACATAGCTAAAAAACCTATTAAATTAAATTATGTTCAACTGAAAAGCAAGGCCGACAGGAGACAAAAATACATTAAAATCAGCACACTTAAAATAATGTTAGGCCACTTGTAGTCTAGCTTGAAAAGCAACTTAACCGCAGCTGAAAATCGTGTTTCTGCTGACCTCTAGTGGTAGAACTTCTCACCTTGCTGCAGCCATGTAGAAGTGTGTCCGTACATTGTGGCATCATTGTCGGGAGAAATGAAGAGAATAACAGACTTCAAACTTTATTTTGCTGGAGGTGAAGGTGGGCGTACCTGGGAATATCTTGAGGTCGCTCCATAAAAGAATAACTAACAGGACAGTTATGCAGGTGTGAGTCAATCCTTTCAGTGCAAACACAGTGGACTGCTTTCTTCCAGTGTTATTGTAGTTTAGAATAACTAAGTATAATAACTGCATATTAGAAGGATGTGATGTGTGATTGGTTACCACACCCTTATTTGAACTTCTTTCTTCATGCTGCCTGCCAACTGTCTCCACCCGTGACCTTTTTGTGTTCCTTTTTGGAGATTTGTTGCTTCTCAAAATTAAAGAGAAGGCATCAGCGGTGACTTTGCTTTGCTTTTTACCATAAGAAAGTGTCTAAACAGGCAGTAGGTGAAAACATATGTGTGGGTCCGCTCTGAGAATAGGGTCTTTAAAACAAACCTATAACACAATAAAACAAGCCAGAAACAAAAGTCTGTCAAACTTAAACAGGCTGAAACAAGCTACAGTTATATTGGCCAAGGTAAAAAGAGGCCTTGTCATGATTATACCCCTATATGTAATGTGCACACAATGGAATTTAGTATAGTCTACAAATGTACTCAAACACACAGTTGCACAATGAACAATGTGCTTTGGATATAAGCATACAATATTACTGTATTTTTTAGCCTAAAGAAAACATACGTGGTATATTTGGAATTTGTGTGAAAGGGGCCATAAAACAAGGCAAAGCAAACCACAAGAGCATTTTGTTCAAAACAAAGCACTATCCTGTAAATTGTCATTAAACATTACTACATAACTGCCATACATGGCTGACATGTCTGTGCCCTTGCTGTTCAAAGTGCCTCATGAAACCCCCGCCTGTGAGTTTAAAATACTGTTTTACACTCAACTGTTTCTGGCTGAGCACGAAGCTGCTCAGGGTCCCCTGGGAGACGGGAGAGCGAGAGAGACGGAGCACCCTTTTACCATCCCCACCCGCTCATCCAGACTCCAGTGTCAAGAATGTGAAACAACAGCCGGGTCTCGTCCACGAAGCCAAAGTCCCTCCTCTCAGCCACAGCACGAAAGCTTCACTCTCTGTCCTCTAACTGACGCTGAGGGATGGAAGAAATGGGGCGGCTAGAATAGAAGCTTCTGGAAGTTAAAGTGGGTTAGTATTTTGGCTTCTTTTTTGCTGGGAGACGTGACAGCAAATAGTTTAAACATGAGTGTTGATCTTGCTTTTTACACCTGTTCTGGCTGACAAGTGCCAATGAAGTTCTTTTATTTTTTATTTTTTTTAAAAGCACCAGACATGGACACTGAATTACACATTTGACGCATCATGATCAAGCAAGTTTCACGTATCTGTACAAATAATCAGCAGTCTTCCACACAACCTTCTGCAGAGGGCGACAACATGAGGAAAGATTCAGATTTAAAGTTCACTGAGTCTGACATAACTGGATGTTGCATTGATTCTTTCTTTTTGTGTGCATACATGCCACATTCTCTGACATTCTCTTTTCGCTAATACGATTTTTAAAAGCAATGTAGGCAAAGTAATGTGATTAATTTGCTTGGGAACAACATTAAATGTCGACTGGAACGATAAAAGGCTTTAAGGCAGGTTCTGCATCATTATCTTTCTTTTAGAGTCAAACTTTACATCATAGGGTCCTACGGCAAATGTGTATGTGTTTCGCTCTATTTTATTCAAGCGATGAGTGTGAAAGTTCATTCTGGAAATTCTGGTTTGACTCCAAAATCAATGTCCATTTATTCTTCTGGAGCTTTACACTGTAAACATCGGTCACGTGGTGAAAACTGAGCCATCTCAATGACATCTGAGCAAACCCCGCCGGCTGATGAAGACCATTAAATGCGGTTGAAAGCATTTGAAAAAGCTAGTAAGTGGACCTTGAGTTAGGTCAAAGAAATATTCTGCTCTATTCTGCAACGTAGCCAAGTCATTAGAGAGACTGAACAGCTATAAATAAAGAGCCTCAAAACCTGAAATCAATCACTTTCAGCTAGATTTAGCCTTTTATTTAACATAATGGGGAGAGTGTCCAGGCCGGGGAGAGTGTCCAGGCCGGGGAGAGTGTCCAGGCCGGGGAGAGTGTCCAGGCCCCGGGGACACCTTTGGTTTAGATAAGAGAGGTTTTTCCTCTTCTGGTGTCTCACCTCAGTGGTAATGTAGCTCAGACTCTGATTAACACGTTCAACCAGTTAAAGTGAAAGAAAAATCTGCTTAGTTTCATGAGTCATCCGCTTTAATTAAATTAGTTTAAACCCGGTACAAAGTTTTGTCGCCCCCAAGCGGGGAAGAGGCTCCAGTGCACCGAGAGATGTCGCACCGCTGGAGTGCCGCAAAACAAACCGGTAGACGCCTCTCGGTGAAACCATCGCGCCTTCAGCCATTATTGTAACACGATTGGCCCTGTTGAGGAAATCCAGGTAGAGACGCAGCCGTTCGCGATTGGCTCTAACGCGTGGCCCCTTCCTGTAGCGCCAGACGATTGGTGCGTGGGTTCGCGACGTTTCAATTTGATTGGCTAGATGGTTCGCACGGGGCGGGGTGTCAAGTTCGGTTGCGGAGCTGAAACCGGTAACCTAGCACTCCAGCACGTTGTGAAGCCGCGAGTGTTTCTGGCTGCCGCCGAGGTGATTCAAAGAAATCACTTTGTTTCTAAATCAACGATTTTTTTTTTTGATAATTGACCCGCTGGTAAGTTGTTCTCTAAGATAAACTGTCATTAATTACCTTCAAAAAGTCGTAGTTTGTTTCCTGTGTTGTGTTCACTAGATTAACTGGGTCGCTTTTTGGGCTCCGTCTACATCCTGGTGATGAGACGGTGGCTGTTAGCAACATTTAGCACGCTAATCAATGCTAAATGCTGGAGAATAAACGCTACACGAGGTGTTAATGTTTAAGTTACCAGCAGGTGATTTAGTAGTTGTTACACGTTGAAATGTCGACCATCGCCACCGCTGCTTAGTTTCACGTTGGGTTTCCAGGAGATACCCACCGCCCCGGTGTAACGTTAGCCCACTTCTAGGTCTCATGCAGTCGTGACTCCCTCCCTTCCTAAACCACATTGCTCGCCTGTTGTCCTCGATAAGATTTTCCATATCTGACTTATTGATTTTATCCTTCATTTGAACGCTAGGCTGGCCGGGAGCTGGCCGGGGCACGTGTTGGTGGCTGCTCCTGAAACCGAGCTAATAGCCCGTGCCGTGCCTGTCCTAGTTTCGCGGCCGTGTTCTCGTCCCGCTGTCGCGGTTATAACTCCGTAGCGGGATGGGGGCAGCTTGCCATTTGAAGCCCAAGTTATATGTGGAAACCGAAAGCTCCGCCGACGTGCGGAGCCGCAGTGCCGGGCGATGAGCGACGTTAGGCCGATCGACCCCGCGAATGGCACAGTCACTGCGGGCACGGCGTGGCCTTTGTCTGCGTGCCACGCTTCTACACAAGCTGCTTTCTGATATGGCTGCTGCAGTGTAGCGTGCCCATATATGTACTTATTCTTCAAATAAACCTGGATCCGTTCGAGGTAAAGCCCCCCACCCGGTGTTAGCTGGTAACATTAGATCTGTCCTAGCGCACCTTGAGCTCGTTTAGGGGTGACGTACTTCTCATCAGAGCTTAGTCTGATGGATCAGTTAATGTTTGATGGTTGCCAAGTGTGTGCCAGAACAACAGATGGCTCTAGGTTGTGTGGACAGGTGTGGCAGACAGTCCG